CAGCGTTATCAATCACAAGCCCATTTTAAAGTGCAGCCTTGGCCTGCAGAGGAGGCATAGAACGAAAACTTGCGGAGGAGGCTCAGTGGAACTGTGCTTTCTTGCCAGTTTCCGGGCTGGGCGCGAGATGTGCGTTTGTTTTGTCTATGATTGGTTGTCATCTGCAGCCGGCCAATAGCAGAAGCTTCCGATTAGGCTTGTTCCTGTCATAAAGTTTATAATGGCCTGCGAACCGAAGGTACGATTCAGTACTTCTCTTCCCTATAGGCAAGGCGTGGATCACGCTGTCTGATAACCATGCTACGTCTCGTAGTATACCGTCAGAAGCGCTGTTGAACTACAGGAATGTATGTAGATGTTGAAGAGGCCGTGAAAAAACGTGCACAATCGACCGCTGGGAAACTTGAATGCGTGAATGAGCTTCAGGTGTTCTATGGGCCTTGAATAAACCGAATCAAAGACAAAGGGATCCCGTTCAAAAATATCCATTCCAAAAATAAGCCAAATTTCATGTTGAATTCAGCACTTTTTCATTGGCTGAATGTAATTTATAACTCGAATCAGACTAGGTACTAGTCACACTAAAAGTACTTCGTTCAGGCATGGGCAGATGCTTTCCGTGGGCACCCTGACTTACAAGGAGTGGTGCAGGTTTACGAAGAGCTCGTATCGAAAGGTGTCACGTTTCCAGCGACAGATCTGGATGCAATGGCTCCCATTATCACTCCAAAACAGGTAATAATCTGGTACTTCTTATTTTCTCAAGATTTTCCAGGAGCAGCATTTTTATTATTCAAAGTGTCGAGTGTCGTGTGTTGTGTTAGTCACAGTGAGTATCTGAATCCCCGTTATGAATTTTCCGTTATTTTGAAATTTTCTGAGCAGCAGTGTTTTTTTCTCATTTCCACACTAAACCCTTGCCCAGGCCTTCTTCTACAATGTGTTACGCTACGGCAGGGAACGTGGAGTACGACTTTATGATCCAGTCTACCAATTCCTTTGTCTATCATTCAGTTCAGTTTCTTGTCCTCTTCTGTGGTGGTGCAGTGCTGTGAGAGTGGTTGTGCTATGACTGCTCATTTATAAGTTTTCTATTGTAAAGGTAAGGATAGTCCTGACAGTACCATAATTTAAAAGTCGCAGTAGTCATAATTTCCACCATGCTAAAACTCTTCTCGGCCACATGCGCCTTTCCTCCATCTCTTTGTGATGAAATGATGGTTCCCGAGTTCTTTGAGGAAAAAGCTAGCTTGAACCCTGCTAGTCCCAGATCACTGGAAAACTGAACACGGATTTGATGTCTCATCTCTCTGAGATTGGACATACGTGAGCATCAGAAAATCGAATAGCGTTATCCAGTTTGTTGTCGCGAGAAGATTGCATAGTTTTCCGACAAAAGCCCTCAGGAGAGGAACCGTTTTTGTTGGTGCTAAGGTATCGAAAATCGCCTGGGATAATTCAGGCAGCAAGACAGTCCTGGGCGAATGTCGAAGCCTTGTTCGGAGAATTAAATCATTAAATACCAGTTCACGTGTCGTGGCGTTATGATACTCACGCTATTTCTTGCGAGATTTTAGTGTCTTGTGTGGCAGGTTTAATGCTCGAGAATCCGAATATGGCGCTATCGCTAGTTACGGGGAAACGTGGTGGAAATTCGTTCAATTTCTACATTTTCTTGGAGAATGTACTGATGCGCAATTTAGCCTACTGGCGAGAGCATGACGCGCAGCGCGTCAGATCGCTTTACGGACCTAGCTCGTTCTCTTCGATTTTTTTTAGCATTTTTCATATTTAAAAAATGTCTGTATATAATATCTTGTCCGTAAAACTGCACTACTCACCACTAGTGAAATTATTGATAGAGTAATGACGATGCCGAAAAAATGAACAAAATGATGAACGCGCACAATGGTTTTCGTCAAAGTGGCAAAGAGATTGCTTTTCTGCAAAAATGAGAGGGCAAAATTTTGTCGGCTAAACAGGCCCTCAATCGTAAGTGTGTATAGCACCAATTGATCCGGGATTAATTCTTAAGAATCTGCAGGATAAGCTTGCTTATCATAATATCCTCAGCTGCGTTGGACTTTGAGTGAGCTTGTAATAGCAAGAATGGGATCAGTGGGTACTTGAAGGAATCCTTCTCACAAGGGAAGGATACCAGGTCGAAGTGGCCATTTGTAACGAGACATACACCACTAGATGTGTTTTTGGACGCTTATCTCAAATCTGCTCTCCAAATCTGCGAAACGACTCTTTGAACGTAGTTATGAAGCGAGATAGTGCAGTGGCAGCGGTGCGGCTCAACGAACGAGAGGTCGTGAGTTCGAGTTCTTGGCGAGTTCTCACTTTTGCTTTTCTTGTGAACGTTGTTTAAGGGACTCTTATCCATGCTAAGTTATCAGCGATTGCCTATAGCACAAGTAAACAGAGCTGGCGAAGAGCTTCGAGCACTGTGCGCGTCATTTGCAAGTGACCGCCTCTGACACCCGTAGCGCACGCGTAAGGCAATTTCGTGCCAAGCAGATGCGATATTCGTGTTCAGCGCGTCGAAACACCCCTTTCAACAACATTTGGTCCAAATCTAAAATTTTGACCTGAAGTCGAAAATGTGGGCAGTCATCTATCCATCAACCCACTGTCAGAGCCTGATCGTGGGATTGAATTAAACTTTCAGTCATTATTGTGAAAGAGATATAGTTGCCTGCTCTACTTGCTCGTGCCATCCGAAGATTAATATGATATTTTTTCATGTACACGCTCGCTGCCCAGGAGGAGCAGGAGGGTAGTGGCTGGGGCTAGGGATAACACCTACGACTCATTGTAGACCGAGTTTCGAAATTGGGTCCAAATGTCAGCTTTCTAGAATTAAGCCTTCAAAGATAGTTTGGTCCGTTGAGCAAGCATCTCCCATTTGTTTAGCCCATCGTCGGATATACGTCACTTCCGTGGCGTAGAAACACCTCGGCAAGGGTCGAAACATTACGAAAAAGTGGAATGCGTTAAACAAACCCCTCTAAACATGCGTTAGCTTTGGATGCAGTGAAAATTTCAACACTGAATAATTTTTTATATTTAAATTAGACCTAATTACAAAAAGCAAAAAAACCATGCCCAGCAAGATCCCATCCATGGTCTTCACCACTGGAAGCCGCCAACACTACCACTCGGCCAAGCCGCCGCTGGAAGCCGAGCTCTGCCGGAGTCTCTTACAGTGGGCTTTCATTCGAAACAACCTCCGTAACACTTTTCAGAGAATCGTTTCGCAAATTTGGAGAGTGGATTCGAGATCAGCGTCCGAAAACACATCTCTGAGTATAGGTTTCATTACGGATGGCCACTTCGACTTGGTATCCTTCCCTTGTCAGAAAACGTCTTGGCTTCTTTCCCGCACGCATACGTCGATTGTATCATCGCGACAAGATCCGTAAAAAGTTTCACGCTCAAAGATTCGGTTTCCGAAGAGAAACAAACTCACAAAAACCACATTCTATGGACAGTCGAAGGTAAGTGGCGTGGAGCCAAATGCGTGGTCATTGGCGTAAAAGTCCGGCGGCTACGTATCAGGCGACGCAATGAAGGAATCGGGTTAAAGCGTGCGATTTTGGGAGTAGAGACAAATCGATCGATAGAATAGGATGAGTAGAGGTGTGATATGTTAATGCAAGTAAGTCAAAAGATCAGAAAGAGTTTATAAGGAGGGCACTTCGAGAAATTATTGGAAGCATTCCCATCGCCTTTGTTCCCGTTGCCCATTAGCGTTAGTGACAAATGTCCGGCGGTACATTGAACACGTAGCATCCCTTTCGCTTTTCAATTTTTTTTTTACCAACAAATGCAGTTTCTTTATTCTTTTCGTTTTTATCGTGAACAGTGGGCCCTAAGCCAGTGAGTTATGGGTGAGGTAGAATTACGATTTTTTTATGGGTGAGGTAGAATTACGATTTTTCCGAGAAGGATTCCTTCGAGCATGAAGCCAAATCTTCCAAGGAGCTTTGCATGCCTTGAATGTGGTTGTGATTGTGTTGTGTTGTAGACGGTGTTCACGGAGCCGAGGACATCTCCAACCCCACCTCAGCCCTCACACTCTGAAGCAGCTAGAGTAAGTAAGATTGGAAGTATGCCTATGACCGTTTTAGATGAATATGAATGATTTAGAGTTACGAAGTGGTGAGTCATGCCGACGGCCCTATAACTGCCACCGCTGAGCAGTTGGCAAAACTACGGTCTGACTTGGATGTGGTGAATTCGAATTTAAAGGTAAGTTAAGCTTGCTTCACTCGATACTATTGCAATGTAATTTGAGTAGCTGTTCACAGGTCTTCCGCGAAATGCTCACGGAGATCATTCCCGGTCGTGAGACAGCCGACGAGTTGCAACTATTGAATGAGTTGCATGCAACTTGTAAGCAAATGCAACTACGTGTGCTAGATTTAATTCGTAGTGTTGGAAATGAAGAAGTGACATGTAAGTTCATTCAGTTATTGTCTCATTCGTGTTGCCTGATTATTCTATCCGGCGCTCATGGCTCCGGGGGGGGGGTTGGAAAGGAACATTTAAAACCGGGCACTTGAAAACCATTAGTAGGTGACAATAATACTAAGCACGAGAGAGGGGAGAAACGCCAGAGAGAATGAAAATTTGTTCTCCAGGACGTCTTCTATCCCTTTCAGAATTTAGCTGTTTCCTTTGTAAGCTTGAAAAAAATTTTAGAGGAAGTTTTTCTCGATGGCGTCGGCTTTAATTAACACATTGACGACATTGAGACGCGGTAACGCGTCTCACTTTGCGCACCTCGTTGGACATTGAGACGCGGTACCGCGTCTCACCCTTGTCATCCCTTTTTCTAGCGTATGCGGGGATTCTTCCCAATTTGCTTGCCTCTATTCTATGGATTACAACATAACATAACTGTAAACGACATGGGTCACGGTATGATCAAATATGCTCCAGTTTAGCAGAAGTTTTTAAGCACAGCGGAATTGGCAGCTCGGTTCATTCCTCGTTTTCTTCCTATTCTCATGAACATGTCAGTGAGAAAGGGTAGTGAAAGTAAATACAAACCTAAAGGGATAGAAAGATATATGTTTCACTTGACACATCCACATCGAAAATAGTTTTGGCATCCACTACAGAGAAAAGGACTTGAATTCCAATTTTTTTTACCATTTCACGTTTTTTTTTGCCGGAATTTCGCTGCTATATCTTCAATTATTGCTGAAATAGTTTCGTACCCTTGAGGATTCCCGAGGTTGTCGTTCGAAATTTACGGGCGTGAGACGGCCGCCCTTGTCCCATGCGGTGTAAAAGCCCAAAACGCGCCATGTCGTCAACGTGTTAACAGTCCTTGCAATATGGGCACACCTAAATTCATGGTCTGATCCTGGTTTCACTTGTTCCTGGCGCAATTCTATTCCCATTCGCTCCTACTGTTCCTACCTTTTAAGTCAGCTCCTCTACCAGGTGGGTTGTAATGTAGACTTGGTAACACAGACTTGACGTCTATGAATAGCATCAAAAAGCTAATTTATGTGGCGACGGGTTTGAAAAATTGATTAGGCTGTAGTGATTAAGTGCTAACGAATACGAAATCTCATTGAAGTATAGTATTTCAGACGAGCTTCTTGTCATGAATGACGAATTCAATAGCGTATTCGAAAAGTACGATCGATTTATGACGAATCGAACCGGCGAAGCAACAGGAGACACCGCTGCTGCACCAGGCCAACAAGAAGTCGCAGATCTGATTGACGTAGGACAATCTGCTAAACCACTGGAGAGTCAGCTAGCTGGAATGAGTTAGTATTTGGCTGTTGTAATACCTGTAGTTATATGTTTTGGAAAAGAACTTTAGCCTTAGTTTGAATTCTGATATAATGTATGCTATACGAAGTTATTACGGTGGCAGCCACTCAAACTAGCCGTCCGCGAATGCACGCGCGATGCCCACATAATGTGTTTGTTCGAAGCTCATTTTCATTTTACACTTTTTAGAACCTTTTTTTCTTGAAATGTTCATTTAGTGATGCAAAGTAGGGCGCTCATGTCGTTGGGGGACACTGAAGTGAGTAAGCCAGTCAAAGCACTTCATACGAAGCCTTTAGGAGCGGAAGGTATTCTGCGGGATGACGTGAGCAATTTTTGCTCTCCGGCGTTCCTCCCCTCTGTGAGCTTACCAGGAAGGTCTTTCAGGGCGTGACAAGCTTTTTGAAAACGGTCTTTTGCATGATATAGGGGCAGATGCGGGAACCACAGAACCATGTTCAATTTTTCCTGAACGGCCCTCTGAATACCAGAAAAGGAGGTCCCTAGTTCGATTCCTCGTGGTAACAAATTTTTGCATTTCGAGTTGACGTGCCAAAATTCGCGCAAAATGGAGTTAGAACCAACCAGAACAATCAGAACTCCATTTTGCGCGAATTTTGGAACGTCAACTCGAAATGCAAAAATTTGTCACCAAGAGGAATCGAACTAGGGACCCCCTTTTCTGGTATTCAGAGGGCCGTTCAGGAAAAATTAAACATGGTTCTGTGGTCCCGCATCTGCCCCTATATCATGCAAAAGACCGTTTTCAAAAAGCTCGTCACGCCCTGAAAGACCTTCCTGGTTAGTCCCAGTGTCACTCTCTCGCGGTTTTTGAAGGCCTTGTTTTGAATGTCCCCTCTCCATGTCCATGAGCGCTCAAGTAAATATTAAGATGTCCCATAATTAGTGAAGTTTATTGCTATAAAAATTCCAAGAAAAATGGTGAAGGCGTGAAACATGTTTTGCCAAGTAGTACCCACATTGTCCTACCTGAGCAATTAGTCAGCCCATTCACATGTTGCCTTCCGAGGCTGAAACTTCAATTTTTCCAAACACGATATGAAATCGCCATGTTCCCTCTGGTTTCCCAGAGTTCCTTTCAGTGATCATCCTGCGTATTCACCAGTGTTGTGACTGGGTGGAGTGTGCTAGCAAATCCACAAGGAGCAGTAGCCTAGCTTAAACGATTCGGGAGTTCTGACAGCAAAAGCCCAACCTCCTCTAGTCCGACACTTCTGAGATGTTGGTGGAGCACGAAAGGACCTTGCGCTGGGAACCGCCGCCCAGTAATACTAGGGTCACTGAAGAAGGCAACGTCGACAGCATAATGGCGACGCGTTCAATTTGAAAGTAAAGCAAGACAAAGTCTGCTTTTTTCCTGAGGTCGTTCGACCCCACCTTGCGGAGAATATTCATAAAAAATTGGAGACCTTCAGGCTAGCAGTTCTTCCAGCTCCACCGTGTAGCCCTATCCTCGTACCAGCGAAAGACAACCTAGTCTGACTTATAGCGCTCTTCTTCAGGAAGAAATTTTACGCTAAGTGACATGACCTCAAACCGACTTCCGATCTTTCTTCGATCAATAGCTCCTGGAATTCTAGAAAAAAATATCCTGAAATTCTAGAAAAAAAAACTGCGAGTAAATCTCCATGTATAGGCTATTGTATTAGGTTGTCTCATAAGTAGTGTCGCTTTTTTTCAACCAAAAAATTTTCATCTAAATCCCATGCTTTTACATCGTCATATACCATTCGAAAGAGAATTGTCTGCTCTACAAGATGCTGTGTTCCTCTTCCACCTCTGTTCCAGGTTTTCAAATTTTAGGCCTGCGAAATGGGAGGTCCAGCCGACAAAAATTGACCAAACCGACAACTATCTCTAACTTTATCTTCCCTTGGGAGAAATCAATCAATGATGTACCCTCTACTTATGCATGACCTCTTCTAAACATTACACTATTAGGTTTCCCAACAAGTCGCGTCATTCCATTTCCAGACCTGGTTTTTCAACCAGAACTCGACGGTCGAGCACCATTACCTGAGATCTAGGTCGAAATTTTTTTATAGCCGAGACATTGAAAAACTAGTAGAATTTAAAGAACAAGTCATGACTAAGTTAGGAATGTACGCCTGGTTGATTTTCTCATCTTCTCAGGATAATTTTTTTCAAAGAAATGCGGTCACTTTCGTGGATAAAGCACCTTACTCCTAAACACCTAAAATTCGAAGCTAATTCCAACAAACATTAAAACAAAACAAATGAGCGAATAGAGCAGAAGAAGTGCTCACAAAAGATACACCACACGATAGAATACTGATGAGGGGAAGAATTTCCATTTGAAAATTGCCATCAATCGTATGTGTATGCACCATTGATCCGGGATTATTTCAGAATCTGCAGGATAAGCTTGCTTATCATAATGTCCTCAGCTGCGTTGGACTTTGAATAACGAGTGAGCTTGTAATAGCAAGAATGGGATCAGTGGGTACTTGAAGGAATCGTTCTCAGAAAAGTCTTGCTTCTTTCCCGACACGCATACGTCGATTGTAATCACTCGAGACAACGTAAAAAGTTTCACGCCCAAAGACTGGTTTCCGAGAGAACCAAACTCAGCACCCAAACACACATTCTATATCGAAGCAAGTGGCACCGCCGAGCCAAGGCGCCATGGACTAAGTGCGTCTAACAGTATCAGGCGACGCAATGAAGGAATCGGGTTAAAGCGTGCGATTTTGGGGTTGGAGACAAATCGGTCGATAGAATAGGATGTAGTGGAGGTGTGATATGTTAATGCAGTAAGTCAAAAGATCAGAAAGAGTTTATAAGGAGGGCACTTCGAGAAATTATTGGAAGCATTCCCATCGCCTTTGTTCCCGTTGCCCATTAGCGTTAGTGACAAATGTCCGGCGGTACATTGAACACGTAGCATTTTTACCAACAAATGCAGTTTCTTTATTCTTTTCGTTTTTATCGTGAACAGTGTGCTCTAAGCTAGGGAGTTATGGGTGAGGTGCTTACGTTTTTATGGGTGAGGTAGAATTACGATTTTTCCGAGAAGGATTCCTTCGAGCATGAAGCCAAATCTTCCAAGGAGCTTTGCATGCCTTGAATGTGGTTGTGATTGTGTTGTGTTGTAGACGGTGTTCACGGAGCCGAGGACATCTCCAACCCCACCTCAGCCCTCACACACTGAAGCAGCTAGAGTAAGTAAGATTGGAAGTATGCCTATGACCGTTTTAGATGAATATGAATGATTTAGAGTTACACGAAGTGGTGAGTCATGCCGACGGCCCTATAACTGCCACCGCTGAGCAGTTGGCAAAACTACGGTCTGACTTGGATGTGGTGAATTCGAATTTAAAGGTAAGTTAAGCTTGCTTCACTCGATACTATTGCAATGTAATTTGAGTAGCTGTTCACAGGTCTTCCGCGAAATGCTCACGGAGATCATTCCCGGTCGTGAGACAGCCGACGAGTTGCAACTATTGAATGAGTTGCATGCAACTTGTAAGCAAATGCAACTACGTGTGCTAGATTTAATTCGTAGTGTTGGAAATGAAGAAGTGACATGTAAGTTCATTCAGTTATTGTCTCATTCGTGTTGCCTGATTATTCTATCCGGCGCTCATGGCTCCGGGGGGGGGGGTTGGAAAGGAACATTTAAAACCGGGCACTTGAAAACCATTAGTAGGTGACAATAATACTAAGCACGAGAGAGGGGAGAAACGCCAGAGAGAATGAAAATTTGTTCTCCAGGACGTCTTCTATCCCTTCCAGAATTTAGCGTTTCCTTTGTACTTGAAAAAATTTTAGAGGAGGTTTTTTCTCGGATGGCGAGGATTTATCAATTATTACGACATTGAGGCGCGGTAACGCGTCTCACTTTGCGCACCTCGTTGGACATTGAGACGCGGTTGCGCGTCTCACCCTTGTCATCCCTTTTTCTAGCGTATGCGGGGATTCTTCCTTGCCTCTATTCCATGGATTACAACATAACATAACTGTAAACGACATGGGTCACGGTATGATTGAATATGCACCAGTTTAGAAGAAGTTATTCAAGCACAGCAGAACTGGCAGCTCGGCTCATCCTTCGTTTTCTTCCTATTCTGATGAACATGTCAGTGAGAAAAGGTAGTGAAAGTAAATACAAACCTGAAGGGATAGAAAGATATATGTTTCACTTGACACATCCACATCGAAAATGGTTTTAAATCCACTACAGCGAGAAGGACTTGAATTCCAGTTTTTTTTTTATCATTTCACGTTTTTTTTTGCCGGAATTTCGCTGCTATATCTTCAATTATTGCTGAAAGTAGTTTCGTACCCTTGAGGATTCCCGAGGTGTCCGTTCGAAGTTTACGGCGTGCCGACGGCCGCCGCTTGTCCCATGCGGTGTGTAAAAGCCCAAAACGCGCCATGTCGTCAACGTGTTAACAGTCCTTGCAATATGGGCACACCTAAATTCATGGTCTGATCCTGGTTTCACTTGTTCCTGGCGCAATTCTATTCCCATTCGCTCCTACTGTTCCTACCTTTTAAGTCAGCTCCTCTACCAGGTGGGTTGTAATGTAGACTTGGTAACACAGACTTGACGTCAATCAATAGCATCAAAAAGCTAATTTATGTGGCGACGGGTTTGAAAATGAGTTAGACTGTATGATTAGTGTACGAATAGCAAATACTCATTGAAGTTACGTATTTCAGACAGAGCTTCTTGTCATGAATGACGAATTCAATAGCGTATTCGAAAAGTACGATCGATTTATGACGAATCGAACCGGCGAAGCAACAGGAGACACCGCTGCTGCACCAGGCCAACAAGAAGTCGCAGATCTGATTGACGTAGGACAATCTGCTAAACCACTGGAGAGTCAGCTAGCTGGAATGAGTTAGTATTTGGCTGTTGTAATACCTGTAGTTATATGTTTTGGAAAAGAACTTTAGGCTTAGTTTGGAATATGTGAGTGAATGATACAAATAGATACGTTTTGACGTGGCACCCACTCAAACTAGCCGTCGCGAATGCACGCGCGATGCCCACCATAATGTGTTTGTTCGAAGCTCATTTTCATTTTACACTTTTTTAGAACCTTTTTTTCTTGAAATGTTCATTTAGTGATGCAAAGTAGGGCGCTCATGTCGTTGGGGGACACTGAAGTGAGTAAGCCAGTCAAAGCACTTCATACGAAGCCTTTAGGAGCGGAAGGTATTCTGCGGGATGACGTGAGCAATTTTTGCTCTCCGGCGTTCCTCCCCTCTGTGAGCTTACCAGGAAGGTCTTTCAGGGCGTGACAAGCTTTTTGAAAACGGTCTTTTGCATGATATAGGGGCAGATGCGGGAACCACAGAACCATGTTCAATTTTTCCTGAACGGCCCTCTGAATACCAGAAAAGGAGGTCCCTAGTTCGATTCCTCGTGGTAACAAATTTTTGCATTTCGAGTTGACGTGCCAAAATTCGCGCAAAATGGAGTTAGAACCAACCAGAACAATCAGAACTCCATTTTGCGCGAATTTTGGAACGTCAACTCGAAATGCAAAAATTTGTCACCAAGAGGAATCGAACTAGGGACCCCCTTTTCTGGTATTCAGAGGGCCGTTCAGGAAAAATTAAACATGGTTCTGTGGTCCCGCATCTGCCCCTATATCATGCAAAAGACCGTTTTCAAAAAGCTCGTCACGCCCTGAAAGACCTTCCTGGTAGTCCCAGTGTCACTCTCTCGCGGTTTTTGAAGGCCTTGTTTTGAATGTCCCCTCTCCATGTCCATGAGCGCTCAAGTAAATATTAAGATGTCTCATAATTAGTGAAGTTTATTGCTATGAAAATTCCAAGAAAAATCTCGAAGGCGTGAAACATGTTTTGCCGAGTAGTACTCACATTGTCCTACCTGAGCAATTAGTCAACCCATTCACATGTTGCCTTTCCGTGGGTGAAACGTGAATTTTTCCGGAACACGATATGAAATAGCCATGTTCCCTCTGGTTTCCTGGAGTTCATTTCAGTGATCATCCTGCGTATTCACCAGTGTTGTGAAGTGGGTGAGTGTGCTAGCAAATTCACAAGGAGCAGTAGCTAGCTTGAAATATTCGGGAGTTCTGGTTGCAAAAGCCCAGCATCACCTCTATGTTTGACACTTCTGAAAAGTTGGTGGAGCACGAAAGAGACCTTGCGCTGAGGACCGCCGCCCAGTAATACTAGGGTCAATGAGTAAGGCTAACGTCAACAGCATGATGGCGACGCATTCAATCTGATGGTAAAGCAAGACTAAGTTTGGTTTTTCTGGGGTCATTCGACCCCACCCTGCGGAAAATACTCATAAAAGATTGGAGACCTTTAGGCTAGCAGTTCG